TTTACAGGGAAACCTTGAGTGAGATTGTGATATAGAGATTACTATCGATTTGGACTTATAGATTTAGCTGGGGGATTGGCCTGTCTTGTGTTACAGGTCTTCTTCATCGATTGATTCAGGATCTGGGCTAGATTCAGTTTGATCCTACAAGGATCATCTTCTGTTATCAATGATAACAGGTCGGTTGCCGATTCGTCGGTCTATGACTCAACTCCAATTCACCCTCAATGCTCAACCTAAAAGGCTTTAGCCCTGGTGATTTTTATTGTTTTATTAAGGTTTTCACCCGGACTTTTATTGAATGGCCATTTATCAAATGTACTGAGTATGTAATTATGGTTGGTTGGACAAGGGGTGGGGCTTGCATGGCTAAAGCGAGGGGTATGAGTATAGAGGTTGGTCGAAGTTGACTTCATGTAGCATGTGGACTTTTGGTTGACTTTTTGATGTGATTGCAGTGTCATGACCTGCCAAGAACACAGACTGAGAACACTGCCGATTTAACACTGCCGATTTCTGGGATTTGTCACTGGAATGGATGCCTTGCTGTGATTCCCGCATTCTACTGTGGTTCCAAGTCTGTGTGTGTGCGTGCCTGCAGGTTGCATGCCTGCCTGAGTGCTTGCTGGTTGTGTGTGTGTGCGTGCATGCCTGTCTGAGTGCTTGCCGGTGGGGTATGTGTGTGTTTGACCCGCAAGGGTACTTGTTGGTTGCAAGGCCCACCGGGCCGGTACTTACCTGTGGTCGTGACTCTGGAGGGTTGCAGGGGGGTAAAACACGTCGGTAGCGGGAGATAGGCCCACGACACTTAGAGCAGCTGGGAAAAACACTCAAGTAGCAGGTAGGCCGCGCAGAAGAAGACAAAAAGTTGGCATTTTTAGAGGTCCAGTAGCGGTAGGTTGGGGGGTAGGCCGGTACCAGTCCAAGTAGCCCGGGTCTAGGGCCTGTGCGGACAATAACAGAGTCTGCAATGATGTTTCCCTCCAAAAGGGAGGAGGTACCGGTTGCCTGGGAGGCCGCTTGGCCTGGAAAGTCACCCCCCAGGAGGCCGGTAGGCCACTATATCTTCAGGAAGAGCGGAAGGCTCTTCCTCATTTGCGGTATGCAAGGATTGGCGACATGCTGCTGGAGCGCAACGTTGGTCTGAAGCAGCGCTGCTTGGAGGTGAAGGTCCGCTGGGGCTCAGCCGGGCTATGGCGAGCACCCCAGCTTGAAGGAGGAAGAAGGGGGACATGGTAGGGGAGTGGTAGGGCACTTACCTGGCTATGGTGGACACCGTCTTCATCACCTTGTAGGGCGCTGCATCTGGAAGGCCCCGGTTGGGGTAATGCTGCACCAGGGCAGCTCGAGGCAGAGTCGGGCATAGCGGACCAAGTCAAGCAGCGACATAGCTGCTTTGGGTTGTCTTTCGGCATCAGGGCAGCATCATAGCTGCCTTCTAGTAGTCCGCCATGGCCTATGCTTGAGAGAGGAGGTTGAAGGAGGGAGGACATAGCCATGGTGGACTGGCTGTTGTTGTTGTTGGGTTGTGAGTTGAGTCAGCAGTAAGGGGGGAACTTCGGACATTGATTCTGGTTCATCCATTCATTGTTATTATTATTATTGAGGGAAGAATAAGATTGGTGAAGAGAAGGAGGAAGGAGGAAGGTGGAGAGAGAAGGGGGAATTGTCATTGGTCTTGCTGATGTACTTCTTCTTCTTCTTTTTCTTCTTCTTCTTTACCTCTCCTCTGGTCTTTATCTCTTTGCAAGTGCTTTCATTTCTTTCGCAATTGGGTAACATTGTCTTTCATTGTGAATTTGCACTTGGAAAATGACCCGGATCGTAACAACTGGTATCGGAGCAGACTTACTTGCTGGCGAGAGGTGTTAACCACCCTAACCCTAATTTCGAATTAGGTTAGGGCTGACCTAATCTCGGATTAGGGTTGGGAAGTTAGGGTTAAGTGGGGCAGCGAGGTATGGGGATGCTGCCCCCACCTGGTTAGGTCATGTAGGGTCGACATTGGACCCAACCAGGTTGCTTGAGTGAATGTATGGGGTGGCGAGACACAAAGGAGGCTGATTGGAGTAAGCGAGAGGGAGTAGAGAGTGAGAGGTACTCGCACCTGGATTCTGGACTTCAGAAAGACATTGAGTGACTTTTGGGCTTCCCCTCAAGAGGGAGACTTAATCGGAGGCTGCCATATCTGCATCGGATTGCTGCAAGTTGCTACTTTGGTCTTCAGGGATCGACGGGGGATCCGGCTTTGCAACAAGGGTGTAGGAAGGCCCTCTTAGTCATGCTAGGACACTTCGTGTAGTGGTAGCTAGGGGTCAGGAGGACTTATATGAGAGGGGAGTGACTCTTTATCCATCTTTGGAGGCCGGGCCTCACAGGTAAGTGCCGTGTGACCTGGGTAAGCCCGTGGGAGGTTGCTTGGCGCTGCATGACCTGTTGGGGGTGTGCTGGGATCTCTTCCCCTTCTCTGCAGTCTTGGTTGTGTGTGTTGAGCATGTGGATTGCTTTCTCACTTGATGGATGAATGGATGATGTGTCTTGCTCTAAATGACTTATATTTCTACAGTGCATTGTCTTTTCACTTCTGAACGTTAGTAGGGGTAAGTTCTTGTTGAAAGTTGTCTTTTCCTTTTTAGTACAGTAGAGACAGTTTGGGTCTGACTTGGTACCCCTGTCTCGTTAGACCTGGTCCACGGCCTACTCGGGACCACTCGGGACCTAGTGGGACCAGGCCCAACGGGACAGGACCTTCGGGCCCAGATCTGCTGCCGCCAGTGCATACTTTGCTGTGCTGAATCTGGGGGACACATGGACAGCAAGGGCATTCCTTTCAAGGGGATTTTGACTGGTCTTACCGCGTGTGATCACATACTGCCCCGCGTCTGACTCGGCGACCATCTGCACCCCTCGAAATCTCCATTGCTGCAGTTAGTCTTCTTCGTCTGATTTATTGTGATGACATGTCCTCTGTCAGGTTAGACAAGAGGGGATCTCCAGCTGATCTGATCCGGCCCGTTCTGTAAATCAGACCTCTCTGCTGTTTTATTTATTTTATTTATTTTTATTTGTTCTTCTGCTGCGTGCCGCACTCTCAGTCCAAATGATTCGCCTCTGGTGTACTTCTTGCTGATGTACTTCTTCTTCTTCTTTTTCTTCTTCTTCTTTACCTCTCCTCTGGTCTTTATCTCTTTGCAAGTGCTTTCATTTGTTTCGCAATTGGGTGGCATTGTCTTTTATTGTGAATTTGCACTTGGGAAATGACCAGGATCGTAATAGCAGGTATGTTCTGAGGTTCGGATTTGGATTCGACTGTCTGCGATCACACACATATATATGGTTGTGAAGAGTCTCACTGTGATTGTGAGAAGTGATCGTCACTTATTTATAACCCTATATATACATATTGTCACATTGTGAATCAGAGTGCAGAAGCGGAAAAAAAAAAA